GGCGGGGGAGCCTGCGCCGCCCGGACCCGCCCGGCCCCGCGCCTCTCGGAACTTGTTGGCCAGACAGTTCGTATCCCCTCCTCACCCGCAACCCTCCGAAACAAACCCTGGCCCATTTAACATATATTTAATCTTCCAATAGGGTTTGGCGTTGTTGTCAGCCTCGGGGAGAGAGATTGGACAAACACTGTACTCTTCGGGAGGCGGAGGGCGACGCCAAGGACTTTCCACCGCGACTGCCTTTGGGTTTCAAGTGGGAGGAGAGACCCTTTCCGCCTGGCGCTGCGTGTGTCGTGCTGATCAGTGGCGGAGCGGCTGCTGTGCCAGGGTGACTCCGAGTTGTCCTCTCTCCGGCACTGGCAATGGCTAGTGAGGACAATCGCGGCCCTTCCCCGCCACCAACAGGTGATGACGGGGGAGGTGGAGGGAAAGAAGAAACCCCTGCGGAAGCGGCTGCCTTGTCCCTGAAGCCGGGGCTCCCCATCAGGGGCATCAGAATGAAGTTTGCGGTGCTGACCGGGTTGGTGGAAGTTGGCGAAGTGTCCAACAGGGATATTGTGGAAACCGTCTTTAACCTGGTAAGTGGGTGAGTGTTTCATCAGCAGACACTTTCCCCGGCGAGTTGGTGAACAAGACTTTAAAGCTGCGGTTGTGTGCTTTGCACAGACTGAAAACGCAAAATTCTGTTTGACTTACAGGAAACAAGTTCTTGTATTTTTCAGTGTAAAGGGAATTATGTAAATTTTGATGCTCCTGGTTTTGTGAAAGTGAACAGATCGCTTTTATGCTAAGGAAATAATTGTTGCCGTGGAAGTACTTTAGGGGTGGGGAGGGCTCCAGAGCAGGAGTTGCTTGTCATTTTTATGTCCCCCTTGGCGAGTATGTTCAAGCCTGCATTTCTCTTAACTTTTTAAATAAGTTAAGTGTGACCTTTTCCTGCGCTTGAGAAATATTAATCTTTGAGTCTGCAGACGTTTTGTTTTGCTATAGTAAGATTTAAGCACGAAGTTCTTGTTCATAGTGCTCATGAAAGGTTAATTTGTTGCAAGTTAGTATTTATTTTAAAATTTCGATAGTTTATTTTCAGAAATAACTAAGAAGTTGAATTTCGGGATGGGTTTAGGCTTATGTTTAGAGCAATCTTGTGAAAATTGGTTTTTTCTTGTTTAAAAGTATGGAGGCAGATACAGAATAATCTGTCTTTTGGAGGTTCATATCCACCAGTAGTAGTAAAGCATGCTTGGTCATTAGAAGTTGCTGGTTGTATTCCTATAACTATGAATGTTATTTTTGAGACATGGATACTTTTCATTTTTCTGTATTCCATTCTTAGCAATAGTTATTATCTTTAGTGGTGATTTTAAAGATTTCTTTGTTCCAACTTCTGTCGCTCATCAATTTAAAGAATCCCAGGGAAGTTTGGCCTTAAAATACTGTAATTACCCGTCTTCTACTCAGCTTGTGTCAGAAAATGACAGCACCAGAAATGAATGTACAGTAGTACTGTGCTTGCAGTAACTGTTTAGAACCTTTTCCCTTTGCCTGTATGTTTTCAAGGTTAGGCTTATTTTATTCCAGGGCAGTTAATTATTTCCTTCATTAGACATTTATTGCTACTCTGGTCATTTGCAATGCAGTTTTTAGAATTAGAAGTACCTAGTTGGAATTCACTCACCTTGCAGTATGAAAACTTCAAGCATTGCAGCATTTCTCTACCCCTCATACAGTAATTCTCTACAGATTACTCTGTTGGGGTTTGATGTATGAATACCCACAGACACACACACATACACTCATTTAAAGAAACTGTATGTTATAGAAATGCCCAGTATATATAAGTAGTATAGTGATCTCTGTTATCCATCATCCTACTTCCCTAGTTAGCAACACGTTAGGGCTTTTGTATGTATATGGGGCTCTCTCCAGTGAGTCTCAAGGAGATAAACTGCAAATTGATCTATTCCTTTGTCCCAGAATAGACTGAGAAAGTTTTCTTTCTGATTTTTTTCCTTTCTAAACTTCATGTGCGTTGGATGATGCACAGAAATCTGTGGCAGTGACCTGGCGTGTAATGAAGGAACAACATTCTTTTGCAGGAGGGTTCAGACTCCTCTGCTCTTTAAAATGTGCAGTGTGGGGGTGGATGACCAAACATGAGTCACTTGTATTTTTACCATTAAAGAAAATCTGAATTCTGTAGTAATAGTTTGCGTGCGTGCTGCTAGAAGGACAGGCCTGGTAGAGATTTTAAGGTCACTGGTTAAGTCCTTCGAAGTTGCCTGTTTGCAGGGCAGCGGGTGACGGCGTATTCAAGAAGAGGGTCCATTTGTTTAGTGACACCTTCCTCTTCACCACCCTTCTCCCATCTAAGAGGGCAGGGAAAGTTGCTGAGAGGGTTAGATAGCCGTTCTTTTCCTTCCAGTGGCCCTCACAGTACTTTCCGTGATCCACATATGGGATCTTGGCTGCTCTTTAGAGGACTGTGGGAATGAAATAGTGGGACTCTATTGGGTGAGTTCATGTTGTGGTATTAGTGGTATTAGTATTGTTGCACCTAAGTATTTCCTGTCGGGCTCAGTCTTAATCCTGCTCAGAGAAGGAAGCTACATTAACTAAGAGGTGTGATTTTTCTTTCTTGTACTGGAGACTGAACCCAGAGATGCTGTGCCATTGAGCTACATCCTAGTCCTTTCAGGGTCTCACAGAGTTGCCCAAGCAGGTCTCAAAGTAGCAGTCATTCTGCCTCAGTCTCCCAAGTAGCTGGGATGACAGGATTGTGCATGCATGGCTAGATGTGATTTTTATAAAGGTACTACCAGGGGCCAGGTGTTTTGCGTACATTATTTAATGCTTCTCTGAACAGTTCTTTTAATACGTTCATCCCATTTCATCGATGCCCTTCAAGATTCAGTAGCTTACCTGCAGTTTGATTCTTAGAATGACTGTCTTTTCAGGAATATATCTTGTCTCCTGAATCGGTGTAGTTGTTCGCTTCTCTAAGTATTTGTACCTTAGGCATTGCTTTGCCCAAGCTGAGGGTTCAAGCATATTGGTCCTGCTAAATGCTCATGGTGAAACCAGCAGATTTTATTTATTTATTTTTTTAAATTCAATTTTCAAGTAGCTACCAAAAATTGATTAAAAAGACTTTAGAAGTAAAAAATACTTTTCAGGTCATGCAGTTTTTTTGTTTTTGTTTTTTTTTTTTTTCATTATGTGCAGAAAGTTTGTTTTTTTTCTTTCTTTCTTTTTTTTTTTTTTTTTCCGGTAACGGGAATCGAATTCATGACCTTGCTCTCGCCAGGCAGGCGCTGTGCCGCTGAGCTAAATCCCCAGCCCCAGAAAGTTTGATATTAAATTTTTTTGACACATTGAAGTGAAACTTTTAAAACTGTGAAAAGTAGGATGTCAAAACCAAAAAATCTGTGAAATAGTATTACAATGGGAGTCCTGTAAGACTACCATTTAATTTGATGAAGTAGTATATTATCAGTATCACTTAATTTTCATGTGTATCCTTCCTTTATACTATCTTCCTGCATCAGCCCATCCAACTAGCTGAGACTACAGGCTCATGCCACTGTGCCCAGCTAGAAATACCTACCGATTCTTTTTTACTGATTAAATGTTAGCTGCTTAACTAGTAAGTCTGCAGTGTTAAAATTCAATGACTTCCCCTCTCCACAGTTGTCCATATAGTAAGTGGAAGAGCCTTAGAACTGCTCCAGAGCACTTTATAAAGTGCTGCCTTCCAAGATTGCTAATGTAGCTTGCCTTGATTCTGTTATGAATTCCTATGAAATTTACTACCCTTCTTGTAATTTCTCTTAAAACTCTGTTTTACAGAGAGACCTTGATTAGTGGAACAGCAGTGTCTTC